ATTCTCCTTTTGTTGGTTTCATAATGATAAGACTCATTACTTCTAGTGGTAGTTCTTTATAATTAAATTACTTCCTTTCCTTTATTATTTTTCTAAGTATTTTTGTTAATTAAATAAGCAATGTTGATATTTAAATTCATTCTCTATTACTTTATATTTCATTTTATTAGGGAACTTTTCATGCCTCCAGCTTTGTTTCCTTTGACTTAGCTTGCTTTATTTCATTTGAGGTTTCCTTCTGAAAGCTTTATTTTAATTTTGGCTACACCTTTACAATTCATTTAAACTTTTAGAAGTTTCCCATTCATTTACTTTTCTTGGAATTTAGTTTTGCTTAGGTATATTTGTTTAGTAAAGCTCTTAGAGACATGTGGTAAAGCAATTTGTCTTTTAACACATTAGTGCAAGAAGTTCATCCCTCATTTTTACCAATCGTTTGATTATTAAGGTGCAATCAATAACATTCTTATGTTAACTCACAATTGGGTTCCATGTATGAAAAGAAGAGAGTCATCGAAAAAAATCTTTCTTGTTTTGAGCAAAGTAAGCAGCACATGTTTTGCCTACCACATGTCAAGGAAATTTTTTGGGATAACAATCTCTTAGTGGAAAAAATCATTTGATTCCTCAAAACTTGGTTTGTTGAAATCCCTTGGTTTACTCCCAATTATCTTCCAAATCTTTTACTTAAACCATCTATTAAATGGTTTTGATCATAACCACAATTGGGACACCACTATTCTATTTGTTACAAAAATGGGTGTAAACACATTCATTCAAGAATATATGCCTATGGTAAGAGTTTTGGTTCATATGAAAGTAGACATCCCAAACTTTTTAACAAGTATAAGAACACTCAAATTAGACATTGAACAAAAATCATATGATGATTTAAAGTTAAGATATGAAAAACATAGACTATGCTTGAAGATTCAAAATATAGGTTTTTATATTTGAATTTTTCATGAAGAAATTATTTAACAAATTGACTCCCAAGGTTGCACATTTGATTATGGAAGAAAATAAGTTAAAAATGCTTAGAAACTAAAGATCTGAATCTAGGAAGTGATATTCAAATATAAGGCTTCACATACTTGAATATAGGTTAAGGAAGATTTGAATCTTGAAACTAGAAAGAATGGAAATTCTAAGAGATAAAGTAGATCTGAATATAGAAGTGAAGAACACAATGTTGGAGGGTTACATTCAATTCTCAAGTTGCAAATTTGATTCTTGGGATAAAGAGCCAAAGTTCTAAAAATTCATAAATATTTGAATCTTAGTTTGAAACTTTGAATCTTAGGGGTTGAAGATTCGAATCTTGGAGACCTATGGTGGATTAAGGTATCTAGATGAATACCTACATTCATATTAGGCCATAGATAAAGATTCAAAGTGCATCCAATGTGATGATGTGCTACATTTTCCCTAACACTTCGAAATCCACAACTTGGGGATGGTGTCACAAGCTTCCTAGCCACTTTATTACTTCACATTTCCAACTAGCTACTTTATTTTCTAATAAAGTTGCTAGCCTACAAGAAATCAAGCAAACTACCACCAAGCTCATGCAACTTCACCAAAAAGAAAACAATTCTTAGTTGACTCCATGCAAAGATTTAACAAAGTTATTAAGACATCGACACTGTGTCAAACATCATTTATTTATCTACCCTCTTGCATGGTCTATGACATAGGCATTTTCTTGATGATCCATTGGAGAACCCACCAAAGATGTAGAATGAAGTGAATGATAGATCAAGAAGTTTTATCTTGTTCGAGGATTTTCAAACATCCAAAAGGAAAGCTAAAGATAAAGGGGCAAAGAGTCTAATGTGGTAAACTCAATAGCAAGTGCACTAATCACTTCTAGTAATGTAATGATGAATAAATATCATTGCCATGAGGATTGACGATTAATTAACAATAAAAAATAACTAATTCTAGAATTATTTAAACAATATAAATAATTTTTTCTATTTAAAAGTAAAAGCAATAAAAAGAAATGAATTAAAAACAAACAAATAAATAAAATTTAAGCTTTGATCAAGACAAAACACACTAGGGCATAGAACTAGATAATATAAATTCTAAATTCATATGCATTTGAGACTTTACTCATAATATGTGTTTCCACAAAAATCCTTAAAGTAGCATGTGCGATAGATCTGGATGCTAGGTGTGCCACTTGCTTTGTTGTAAAGCAAGAAAAGTGGATTTTCCCAATGATGCTCTCTTTCCACAGTCTTCTTTGTTATAGATGACTAGAAGAATATTAGTTTAAAGTTGTAATCTACGCCTTCAAACAATTTGCAAGAAGAAGGAATGCTTTTCTGTAGAATTAGTTACTAATTTGCCTTGGATAGCTCCAAGAACCTAAATAATCACTATGAATTAAAGTTAACAAATCCTAAATGAATTAAATAGAATGCAAATCAAAGTAAACTTTTAAATGAAAGATGCATTCAAGTTAAAATAAACATGTTCATTGTCAAATTAAACACAATATAAAGATAGAATTGGAAATTTTATCCTAAATGATCATGAAACTAATATGAATAGAGAATAAACTAACATGCCAAAAACTAAGAAGAAGCGTGAATATCATATAAGTAATTATTTGTGAAAATGCTACTTGTTATAAACCTTAAACAAACACCAATTTGAAAATAAATAATATCTTGCAACAATTTAAAATCTTGTTGTTCATTACACAAAGAAAATTTGCAAAAGCAACTACATAAACAAATTTGGCTATTTGAATGCTGAAAACAACCTAAATCTACTAGGAAAAATTGTGCTAAAAATTGAAATCTATAAGCTAAAGTGAGCAATTGCTAACAAGTTCTATGAGTGCTAAAGCTAATTCTGAGTTGTGTGTAAGGTTGGTTGTGTGTTGAATGATCAAAAAATTCACTTTTGTTTGCTCCTTCCAAGCCTAGAACTCCCCACTTCCTAGTGGTTGCAAAACGTAGGTGGTTTCTTGAAGAAGACGGACACCTCAGTAATGGATTGGGTCAAAACACCTTCTAGATCTCACCGCTTGTCCTTGTTATTTACCATCTAATCTCTTAATTACATTATCTCCTAAAATATAACTATAACAAGTCCACCTCAATTCAAATAGGTAATTAAACAAATGATCACTATACTTTTAGACCCACCTTCCATGTGGCAAGGTATCTATTAAGAGTCCTAACAACAGAGCTAACACAACATCTCATCCATCCATTCAACAATAAATGACACATGACATCATCTTAAAATTTACAATTTATGATATAAACAATATGACAGCAAGATCTCCTTAGTTATTTGATATTCTATCTCAAGTTATAGTAAATCTTCTTTTACCTATTAACCCACTATATTTATATAAATTTAAATAGGTAATAGTGCATTAAGTTATGTGAAACCCTTATATTTATCTGTTTCATTCATATGCATAAAATGCAAAAAATCAAATCTTCTTACTTCAAGAGTCGGTATAAAGATCTATATTCCACACTTCATGCAAATTTTGTATTTTTAAAATTTTTAATACATTTTGAGATTTTTTATTTGCACACATAACTTTAACTTCATTAAATATCTTTAAAATTTTTGTTATTATCAAAATTTCTAAGAATTGAGCATAAAAAAACTTTGCTAGCTGGCATCCTCTTTCATATCAGATCTCCTGGATAGAATCCTAGATATGGTGTCAAACTACTACATATCCTAGGTGTCATGTCACCAAATACCACTCAGTATTTAGCACGGTGACTAAAAACATTTAAAATGATAATATA